AAGGAGGAAGTACCTCGGGAGGAGAGAAGGGTAGACACGTACAGAAAGATATAAGTGCGCGAGTGTACAAACTGAGACCCTGAAGAGTCATGGGCGACATCTGTAAAGGTGCTGTGAAGTCAAAAATGGAGTTATTATCGTCAAGGTCAAAAAATAGAGAGAGACGGGGTGCCAAGTGAGTCTTGAAGCTTTAATGTATGGGAGGCCAGCAGCAGCATTTGCTGCTTTCGACGTCACTTGCCACCCACATCATAAGCTCAATGAAGAGCAAGATATTAAGTACATCGAGATACCTAGGCAAGTGTGAAGGGAAACTTACTCCATAAGTGAATTCACCAACAGAACCCTAGCAAGCCGTTTTCAAGAGGGAACTTTAAAAATTAAAGTCAGTTCATCAGCTGGGCAGTGGTGAATACCTGGACCGCAAGCGGCTACTACCAACAGCTTGATTAAGTAATGAACGAGGAAGCGTGGTATGGGAACGGACCACGGGAGCGGAGACTCCTGAAACATGACCAGTATTTATCTTGCCAGTGTAGGCATGGTAAAGCTGTGAGAATCTCAGGCAAGTCTACCATCTTTCCACATACTTATGACCTATTTCAAGAATTCTACTCGCGTAGCTCGGTCTGATATCAAACTTCCCTGTTAATGGCCTGATCAACCATTCTATTTCTGTCTGCAGACCCGCAGGCATCACAACCTTTATAATACGGCACTGCCTGAAGAAAACGGCCCAGTTCAATCAATCTCTCCCCCCATCATCCTATCGCACCATTCTTTATGTAGTCCTTCAATCTTCACATTAATTACCCTCGCTTCTCCCCCCTTCTCACTCGCCCTGCGACCCTCTTTAAATATCAGTTAAATTTTTATGTATACAAAATTAAGCATCAACCTATATATATACATACATACACATACACATACACACACATACACATACACACACACATACACACACACACACACATACACACACATACACACACATACACACATACACACACACACACACACACATACACACATACACACACACACACACACACACACACACACACACACTGAAACTTCTCCAAGACATTTTGTTATAAGCTGTCTTGTGCACAGAGATTTGTGAATTAACAGTCTACATTTCTTCATATGGCGCCAAAATTAAGCAACCCCGCTTTAAATTTATATAACAATTTAGTATAATCTTAACCAATATTCGTTCAACCTAAATTAAGTTACCGAGTCAATGAACAAATGAGTTATTTTCAATCGCTACATTTATATTGCTTGGTAAAACATTCTTTGCTTTATAAGTTAAGATCGCAGCCTCTGCCATACAAGGCAAACAAACCAGTGTGTTTTAATTATAATCAGCGTAATGCTAAACCCGTAGAGATCATACAGCACACGGGGAATGGGTGGAGTTAGGTTAGATTCAAGGAAGGGATGGGCAGGTCCCATTCCTTGATCGTGAGTAGTTCACCAGCATCAAGGCACAAACTCCCTTGAAGTGTGGCACTGACTGCGTAGCTGGGCTTGGCGCCGCCTCCCCGAGTGTGGTATTCCAGTATAAACTACGTCAACTGTCCTTATCTTAGGCATCGCCAACATTCCTCACGCACCGATATACTGACCCTGAGGCAGCAGCCGAGACGCAGTGCACACGACGCCACCACTCTACCCTATACCTCCATACACTTTACCTCACCCAAACCAGTGCCAGTAACACGCCGATCATTTAACAATCCAGGGCGAGTCAAATTTTTGTTTTTTTACATGCCTAGTTCCAGGTCTTTATTCCCTATTTGTACCCATACTGGAGTAACTTAAACGCTCAAGATTCGTAACGTCTGAGAAGCATTTACTATCACGATCTTCAAAATGGAATCTGAGATAGAACAGAGTCTTATCGATAATGCTGACTATTCTTTGGATAGGATTTGTTGAAAGGTTAAGGACCCATCCGAGATATTCGAGGTATTTATATAAATATCCGGCCTTTTTTTCTTTATTCCAAGCCAAATGCAGTGTTGGAACAGTTTCCAGAGGTAGAAGCGCCTAAAAGATTGTTATCCGTGACTGAGTTAGAGGGGCAGAGGGATCTGTAATGCAGCCCAGCGGACTACCTTTGCTCCGCCAATGTTTCTTTTATCTAATTAGAAGTCGAAAAGCCTTTACCATAGATGCAAACGCTTACCTAACTGTGCCTATGGCACCCATATCCCCCCCCCTTCCCTCGAGTTTGTTCTACGCACGTTTCCCGGAGAGTTTAAGGTAGTCCGCAGATTCTGCAAATTAAGATTCCAGGCACCATCACCCCCACTGTCTGCAAAACTGCAAAGTAAATGGTTAAGGGAGAGAGTGAAGTGTCGTGTATATACTAAATGTAAGAAAAGGTTTAGAATTATCTGACTTTATACATTTATGGGAAAACTTAGTAAACGTTTCTAGCTAGATTGTAAAGAGTTAAGAGGTTTCAGGTTGAAATTCGACTGCAAGAACTCCCTACGTGGTTGCTCTCTACTTTTCAACATTTTAAACAATCTTAAGGGTGCGGGGGTCACAAAACTTAACATTAAAGGTGTTACGGAGAGCAGGAAACTACTAGCTTTTACGTATTACAAGAAAGGGCAGCCGCACAATGAAAAAACATGATCAAATGTAAGATGGGGAAGACTGAACCCTGTGGACAACCAATTCGTAAAACAGGTTGAAATTGGGGAAAATGGAGAAACAAACGTTCCAAGAGAGTATCCATTGTTAGGTAACAAACCTCCCGTAGCTAACTAAATACCGTGTCGTCAATAATCACAATTCTTATCAATACAAAAGACAGACTGTAGCAGACACACAGTGCACAATATTAACCAGGAAACCATACATAATAACCCATTCAATACATCACAATCAGACTAAACTTAATATATACACCGAAGAAAAATATGAGAAAGTAACAGCAGCTTCACTTTCAGACAAGAAGTGTACTCTCATGTTATTGCAACACTTTCAGACAAGAAGTGTACATGTTATTGCAACACTTTCAGACAAGAAGTGTACATGTTATTGCAACACTTTCAGACAAGAAGTGTACATGTTATTGCAACACTTTCAACAAGAAGTAAATGCCAGTTCTTAAAGCAACCTCATTCAGACAGAAGTGTATACATGTTTATGCAACACTTCAACAAGTGTGTAACATTTATTGCACACTTTAGACAGAAGTTACATTTTATCAACTTTCAGACAAGAAGTGTAAATGTTAATTGCAACACTTTCAGACAAAAGTTATGTTTGCAACACTTCAGACAAGAAGTGTAACCTTCTGTTATTCAACACTTTTCAGAATTCATGTTATTGCTACACTTTCAATCATTAATATGAGCCGAAGTCTGAAGCAACCTCAAATGTTAACAATGTAATAAATATAATTAGTCAAACCAATCACAAAGTTCATAATATCAAATGAATATTCAATTTATATATAAGACGTAGGAAGTTAAAAATAAAATTGATTCATGTCAAAGTTAATTACCCCAATGAGTCTGAAGTCCCTGCGGACCATTTTTCATTTATTGTAATTTTGAATGAGGCAGGAGTATGTCTAAACGGTACGTAAAAATTATAATCGAAAACAATAAAAGCGTAACAAATATATATTATATAAGCAGAAGTTAAAAAAAAATTATAATGTCAAAATAAGACTCCCCGAAGAGTGCTGAAGTCCCTACAGGCACCTCGACCTTTAAATATTATGTAGGCGGATAAGTCTAAACCAAGAGCAAACAATATATGATGTAGAGTCAGGAGTGAGAAGGCTAACCAGACAAATTATCAGGCAAGTTAAAGTCTCATGCTCTTAAGATCAACATAGTAATTGACCGCGCCGACTATCAACGTCAAGAATATACTTAGTCTACACTTGTAGTTGAAATGTCAACACTGACTTTCTATTCAGCAATGACAGTCACTAACGTATGAATTCCTGTCAATCCCGACACTGCATGCTATCGAAAGAAAAATTAACAAGTCTATGCAAGTCTACGGGAATTACAACCAGCTTTTCATTTCTGTTCCTTCGCGCCTTCAGTTGGAGATTTGCCTCTCCACAACTCAGCCAAGGGTAGACGAGAATATCAAAACTGTCGTGGATGACAAAATACTTAATGTTACAAATCCCACAAGTCTACAGAGCTTTAAGTACATATTTTAAAATGGAGAGAGTATGCTGTGCCACAATGTGATGAGAGAGCCAGTTCAAGTTCCACCATTTCAAACTGCTCTGGCACCAAATTCTCATTCGGCATTTACTATAATGAAAGTCATATTAGCATGCATTTGCCCCACAAAAAGAATCTTAAAATTAATAACTTTCCACAAACAAAAACTAAAGAAAATACAAATATCCGGAATTAGTTAAGCAAAAACATTACATTCAATAAAACTTGGAAGTCTCAGTAGACCCAGACGTCGTGTAACCTTGCTTTATTTTTTTTTTTTTTTTTTGGGGGGGGGGGGGGTCGTCTTCAAGCCTCGCCGGGACCACCACTGCCACAGGACACATGGACGAATGTTACCTATAAACGTTACCCATAAAGTTCCTAAAAGTAGACAAATCACGGAACACAGGTGGTGTCTGAACCCATGGAAAGTGTTAAAACTCCACACTCGCCATGGGTTCAAACCCCACCCGTTCCATGGTTTGTTTGCAATCGTGTTATTATGATTTCGTGAGTTGCTGAAGTAGTGTGCTATATATAGAGCAAGCTCAATATAGTAAGCTTTGCCTCACCATCTACCCGAACATTATCTAGAACTGACATCCTGAGAACCATCGGGGACCTTGCATCCTTGCGCTAAGTGTGGATATAAGAGCCTGGAGTAAGAACCAGCCAAACAAAATTTAACTTTGCTATATCCACACAAGTTCATTCGAAGCTTTTAAATGACCTAGACAAAGTGGCATCCGGCAAGCATTAATTTTGGTCAAAATTGTGTTAACTTACCACTGATGGTCGGTACACGTGATTTTTGAGCATTGCGCTGGTAGTGCCTCCCTGTGCACGTTGAGGTGTAGGGAGGGTGACTACCTCTGCTGCCTTAACACACACCTTATCTGGCACCACCTCTTCCTCTTCACCCTCCTGGGAATGCTCCACTGAGGAAGCCTCGGCTTTAGCTTTTACCTCAGCTTCTGCCTCTACATCCTCTGCCTTTACTTTCGCCGTAGCCTTTTCCGAAGCCTTTGCCTCTTTCTCAGCAGATTTTGTCTTTTTCTCGGCAACCTTTGCCTTTTTCTCAGCAACTTCAGCCTTTTTTTCTAATTTCTCCACATCTTTTGCTTCTACCTTCTCTTCAGTTTTTGCCGTCACTTTCTCTGTAGCCTTTTCTACTTTCGCGGTAGCTTTTGCCTCTGCTTGTTCTGCGGCCTTAGCCTTAGCCTTCTCGGCAGCCTTAGCCTCAGCTTTGGCCTTTGCTTTCTCAGAACTTTTAGATGAAGCTATCTTGAGAGGATCAGGTTGAGCCTTGTCTACAGGGGCAGTGGAAGGGCCCTCTGCTGCCTGGCCCTCTTGGTTCTCATCAGGGAAGAAGTGCTTGCAGCGAAGGATTCCCTTGGGAGTCTTCGGAGTCCTGGGGGTCCTGGCTGATTTGGATCCCATCCCTGAGCGGTGGATTGACCAGAAGGTGCAGTAACGGCATGAGGTTGGGTGAGCTTGCTGATATTTGACGCCCACCATCGTGCTAACACAGACTTTCACAACTTCTGTCTACCACAATCCCTTCCACAATAAGCAATGCTATTATCGTCCGCCGCGAAGAAGTTTTACACGCTTTACCTTCCCGCTATACCTTTCTCGCCAGAAGGTAAGGATTTGAAGAGCGCTCTGACCACTTCCTTGCCGGGCGATACTATCACAGGCTGACTCACGACAATCTTATAAGCTCCCTCTTTCCAGTATCACTTCCTCGCCGGAATGTTGTAAAATTAAAGAGCTACGACCGCTAGCTTACAATACGTTGCAGGTTTGCTGAAGCTTCAGTCACGAGTGTGGCAGGAATACGTGATGAAAACATTCGGAGGTAGTGCAAGTGTTCCTGCTAGACGGCGGTCCAGGATAATGTGGAGAGTATCGCTGAAGTCAACAAGCGGGTGTCTGAAACTACCCGCCAACTAAGGTGTCACGGCCTCGAAAACAGGTAAATGGTGAGCAGAGTTTAAGGCGACGATGTCAGGCAACAAGAAGGAATTAGTCATGGTGCTGCACCTCAACCGGTTTCTATCACGCAACCTCGACTCATGACGCCAAGTGCAACCGAATACCCTCTTCAGGATTTCACTTAACGCAGTCACCGAAAAGTCGCCATCAGCCTAACCATAAACCCGCAGTGGTGAGAAACCTGGCGGCGGCGGCAGCGATCCCTTGTACCACCAAGGTAGTTTACCTGTAGGAGGTTCAGGGAATTGTTAACCCAGAGACCCAGTCTAAGAGCATACATTGTAGACTGACTCGGCAAAAGCTTTTTGTGTTGGGTAAACAGTTAACGCACCCGCTATCAGTGACAACAGTTCCTCTAGAAAATGGTAAATACCCCTTAATTTTCTAGAGGAAACTTGGGTTATTCTGATAGCTCCTTATCAAGTTAACTGCTAAAGGTGTTCCAGTGCTCTAAATCTCAAATGCCTCTTAGAGTATCACAGAGCACTTGAAAACCTGGTTTATTCAACTGTTCAATCCTTTTTCCCCCACATTCAATCACCATACACTAAACCACAAAGTAAAAACACTAGTATGATTTACCTGTAACCTGGATTTACCTGTAACCTGTTTCGGGAATTTTGTCCCTCCGCAGCCTGACTGGTGATCAGACAAAATACATGAAGACTCAAAAGAGAAGTATATACCAACTAAGGTTAAACTTGCGAGGCTGGAGCATCTACCACTGCAGCCAATGATCCATACTGTTATTAAATTACCTTTGTCATCGAGGACTTTTCTGAATAGTTAGATCCCTTAGGACTGTTGGTAATAATTTTCTAGAAAATGAGCGTTCAGTGGCAAACGATGGAGCGTATGAGTGGGGGTGGGCATGACGAGTGGGTGGAGGAGGAGGATAGGTGGATTAGCATGACGGGTGGGTGGGGAAGCATGACGGGGGTCGGGGTAGGGTAACAGGTTTGCAAGTTAAGCAAGTCTTCTAGTCTGGCTCCTGCTCTCAACCTTCTCGAACACTACACCTCAGACAACACAAAATATCCATTATGTCTTCTGAATAAAGACAGGCTGGACAAGACCATAGGTTCCGCTTTATATAGAGCTTTAATATATATTTGACAAGTTATAAAATATTTCCTATTCCCGGAGCAAGGCTCAGTGTAAGGCTTGTCTTGTCAATCAGGCCGTTGCTGCTGGCAGTCCGCTGGCCCCATATATCCATCACAAGATGGAAACTTGAGTGAAAGGACGCAAGTACAACTAATGCCACATTTTATTGTGGTAACGTTTGATTGCAAAGGCTTGACAAAGCTCCTGGAGAGCGAAACGTTGTCACACAAAAAAGTATTAGTCCCACTTGTGTCCTTTTTACCCAACATGTCGGTAATCTACCAACACTATTACAAGAAAAATTATTCAGCATTTTGCCAGACGAGATCAGAAGCATTGTTGGGACAATTGTAAAAGTCAAGAGGAAACTGGACAAGTATCTTCACCAGGTGCCATAACCAGGTTGTGATGGATATATGGATCAGCGGGCCGTCAGCAGCAACAGCCTGGTTGACCAGGCTAGCACCAGACAAGCCTGGCTCAGGGAGTAGAGAGACTGAACTCTAAGGTATATCAAAGGCTACTGAACATTACAAAATTCCCCGGGTAATGCCCATTTATACCTAGTAATGTTTCTTGACTTTAAAGCATTATATAAATTTCTCAACACCGTGTACAACAGTGTGAAGTGTACAGCCCATCACTCCGCCAGCACAAGGATCTCTGCACCAGCCACAAACATTTACTGCTGCCACACCAGACTAACATGGCATCGGGAGGGCGGGAAGGTGTGCACAGACAAACATTTGTTTGTTATATTACTTGTAGCCAATTTGTTTTGGTAAGGTATGTATTCTATTCCTCGGTATATTTTCTTTCTTCGTCGTTTTCTATAATCTGCGTTTTCTTTTATTTATTCCATTTTCTATTCATGTAAACCAACATGCGAGCTACACCGTTTTCTCTCGTTGCTCAGAGTCCCGTTTTCTTGTAATCCAAATTTCCTCGACAGATTTCCACACACTAGTTTTCACTGGTGCCAGTTTTCTCTGATGCTAAACACGAAAGTTACGTCTCAGCAATGCCATGCTCACTGTAGACAGAAGCGACCCAGTTGGCATTCTTCCCAAAGTGCCAGAGATTCTAGTACATTTTTTTTTACACCGACACTGGAATGGTGCACTAACTAAATGACAGATGTTCACGAGCGGCACTAACCTCAAGAACACAAAGCCACAAGTTGTAGTGGCGGTGGTTTGTGTCTCAGAACTAACGTCTCTTAATTGGTTGTAATAAGGGATGGGCAGGTTCTTCAACAAGAACTACATATAATATTCTTCATACATTTTTGAATGGTCAAGAGCCACAGAAAATATTTTAAAATCGTATTTATAAATAATAGAAAATACAACTATATAGTACTTCTACTCAAAGCAGAATTGTTTAAGCTGCTCACTGAAGACTGGTCGAGTCTTCATTTTTGCAGATAATAGCTTAAAATTTGGCTGTTAGGATGTGGAAGGTGTTCTAAGAAGTTCAGTTAGGTGGCTGTGAGGACAGCACGATGTTCTGACAATTTCATTACAAAGAAGAAATTCACAGCAGTAAATTGTCCCAAAAACTGTGGTCTTAAGCCAATTTTCTGAATATTGGGATACTTTGCTTCTGGGATTTATTTCCAAAAGTCAGAGATGATCTTTTATGTATCAGCTTCAAACCCGCATCTTCCTGCATTTCAGTAAGCCGTTTCTACTGAAGCAACATCTGAGGCTAAAGGTGCAACAAGACATCCATCGTTAATAACATCAATCACTAAAGTATTCACAAGAAATTTGAAACATGTTCTGAAAACATATTCAGTATTTGGGACAATCCATATGGATGTCCGAAAATATATCAGATGACCAAAAGCTCCAGCTGCGGATCATCATACGACTTAAAGACCCGCGTTAGGAAACACTAATGTTTCCTGAATAACATTACCTCTAAACATAACATTTGCATTTTAATTATTTTTGACTAGTTTCGAGTTTCATCACGGCCTTGGGGCCAGGTTTGTCTAGTGCTTGCCTGGGTAACCAAGCTACTGTTGCCAGTGATCCTCGTATCCACCACAGCCTGGCTGATCCGGTACTTGGTGGAGGTATTTTTCGAATTTCCTATTAAGATTTCTACACTTATTTCGACAGCGTTTCCAATATCTTCTGGTAAGATACTGAATAGTCTGGGCCCATGGATGGTGATAATACTCTCATTATGCCCTCGTCAACCCCTGTTTATCACTGGGTTTATTTTACATTTTCTCTCCTCTCTGTCCTTAGTAAGTTATGGTAGTGTACAGATTTGGGAGTAGGCCCTCGAGTACCTTCCACGTACCTTCCCCATCCTCTATCCACTTTCACAAATTAATCGCAAAGCAAATAAAATTATTCAGAGTATTTCACACTGGGTAATTTATATACTTAGTTCGTTCAGAGTCGTCGAGTCAGCAGAGACTATCCTCACCATTTATGTTGAAAGATACTAGGTGTTTAGAGAAGCACCATGTGGGGAGCGGGGGCAACCTTGCCAAGAATGATACCCCTATGCCCATACCAGACTACCAGGTGAGACAGCGTAGGAAGGGAGGGAGAGGAAGGGGGGGGGGTTAAAAGCATCAACGAGAGGTACGACTGACAAGAAGGTGGGTTAGCCATTATGACAGCAGTCACTGGCTTACCGGCGCTGGATTCAGTGGGAGGCTGAGGGTATATAAGCAGTAATCAGCTAGGATTGGCAAGCGAGGGGGGGGGGGGCAAGACACCAGCAAAACTGTTGCCTGGCAACCAAGGAGCATACAAATCACGTTGCCTAGGAACCATCCCAGCCTACGCTGCTCCAGCACTGTTGCAGTACAAGCGCTTGACAAGGGTAGGACGGCATCATACCTTGCGTAGGGTGTGATGAATCTTACGCGAGGTAATTTCCAGGAACTTTAGACCTTAGGGGTACACAAATGCTTGCCAGAGGGACACTAAAAAAGCGTGCGCAGTGCATCGTAACCCGTAACCACCTGATGAACTTTCCTGAAGCTAGACAAGTTATCCAGACAGACCTAACATACTCTTTGCAATCTGCTTTTATCACCATTACATACACAGCTTCATAAAACTCTGGGTCTTTTCACCATATCTGAAGTTTTAGCAAAGTTGATTCCTCCGAAAAACATACTGCCACTACCCGAGACATCGCTCGCTCTCAGGTACTGTTCTACACTACACACTTCTCTTCGGCTATCGTCTACCCTCGTATATTGCTTGTTTGAGAATGTATTAAGTCCTGGATGAACCAACTTCCAATAATATGCCATAACCCGCATATTGTGTTACCCTGTGTATACATTACCATTCTATATATTAATATTCAAGTTTCGCCTAATATTCTTTCACACGTGTCGCTATTTGTTTCGCGCCACTACTAACACCTAAACTTAATGCTATCCGCCTTGGATTGTACTCGCCCATCCCAAGATATTCAACTTTTCTCTTCATTCGCTGTGTGTATCCTCCCCACCAACTAACCTCCAGCTTCCCGAGAGTCTTAAGAAAACCTTTCCAGATTTGGCAAATTTATACAGCATGCATCTTTTGAAAGCTTTCCATAGTTTTCCTATTCTTGCAGCCCGTCCCTGGGCCAGGCTTGTATGCACATTAGACTATTCTGTTTACTCTATTTCAGATTACACTGTGCTCAACAGATCACTGGCAAGTACAACAAAGAATAGTCTGGTAGTTTCATTGCCGGTTACATACTTCAAGGACATAACTCCAAAGATCATTAATTTTTGATGACTACCCTTATCCATGCCTAACTCGGTCGAAAAGTCACAGAAATGCGCTGAACTACCTAGTTAGGGCGACTGATAAAGCTCCATCTAAGACTGTTAAGGTTAGATTAGTGGC